TTTTTTTTTAAGTTAGGAATCATTCTTTATAATGTGTATTCTCTTGGAATGCCAAAACAAGAGAGCAGTTTTACAAAAGGCCAGATCTGATCTATAAAATTGGACCCATACAAACTGAATCCAGACTTACTCTATTCTTACTCTTCATAATGTTTGAGAAAGTGATTGTCTTAAGGCAAAAGCCCTACAAATCAACCAATCATAAGTCCATATCAAAAAAGGTAACCATAAGAAACCTATCTGCATTATCTGGGCCAAAACTGTACAGCTAAAACTGGATCTATTTCAAAGTAGCAACAAACTTAATGTTTATGAATAATGTTTGGATCTGATATTGCGAAAACTCAATTAAGAAAGGCATTAATTACCTAACTATTAGAGCTAGGCTCAGTCAAGATAAACCATAATTTTTAAGAAAGTTTTCCCAAGCCAGTTCTATGAGACAAAGCATGAAAATCACTGAGAAACATGCCAGTATCTGCTCAATTCCAGAAGCAGGAAGCAAAGATGTGACCCAATCACATGATAATAAACCACAGTCCATCTGTTCAGAGAACTTGCATTACGTAAGCCACAACCAAGAAAGAACAGCAAAAGGCAGGCAGTTTGTTGACATGTGCAGAGGGCTCTGTGGTTTGAAGAAACATGTTCTCACATCAAAAGAGCCATCCATAAAATAATGGCATTTTCAAAACCCACGTCATTAGAAATGAACATATCTGATACACTACAAAGATACTACCTGAATGGTGCAGAGTTCAGATAAACTGTTTCAACAGGCCTAAAAGAACCTTTCAGCAAAGGTCTACACATAAGCAGCCCTTCCCAGAGGAACAGATTTATCTCCCTCTCCATTACTTTGTTTATGTCAGTTTCCTATTTAATTTCAAAAACAGAGGAGATCATCTAAAATTCTAAACCTAGACCGTGTAACTGCAAGGCCTTTCAATTACATCCATTTTAATTAAACCCCAGTTTCACCATCTTTTAAACTACTGAAGCCTACTCTTCTCAGTCAATAAGCTCTACACCAGGTCTTTTTATCATCAATATAAAAAAATATTGACCTCCTCTTGAGGACTTTTTAACCACCACCACCATCACCACCACCACCACCACCACCCCTCCCCGCCCACAGTCCATCAGAAGTCACTTTTCATAAGTTCTGTGAAATTCAAGATAACTTCACTTAGGTAAGTCACTTCATTAACCCTGCCCTCCCCCCTCCAAGTCCTTCATATCTTAAAGAGCACAGATTTGGAAGGAGATAATCTAAATTCTTGTCTTAGTTCTGCCTGACCCTGAGAAATTCACCTAACCTCTTATGTTATTTTCTTCCCTTATAAACTGAAGTGACTTAGAATCTTCACCAATTGAATGCCTACCCCTGGTGGGCAGCCCATAGTATTATTTTCCCTTATTCATCCCACTTAGATTACCTTTTTATTTTGTTTCCAGTCACAGATTACAGAGTTTTCAGAACTGGGGGAAAGAAATAGTGGTTACTACATCCAAACCCTACAGTATAGAATAAGGAACTCAACTCTAAAGAGGAACTTGCCAGCCAGTCAATAAAACTTTTGGTTCTGCCCTGGAGTAGGCCTCAGGACAGCTTACCACTCATCAAATCTCCCTCTCTGCCCACTTGAATTCTAGCTACCCTTCAAAGTCCGTTTAAGTCCTGAAGTGTCCCAGAAAGCCTCCCCCAATCACATCAGCCTACATTAATCATTTCTCTCTTTGACTGCTGATGCCTTTCTGTAGGGGAGATATTAAAAATATTTAACAACTGGTTCCAAAATGGTACCAACCAATCAGAAAGGATGTCTGATCAATCAAAACACATGTGACCCAGTGGCAACTGCTGCCTGAACATCAGCCCTACCTATTACTGTCAATACAAAATAGCAATCTCAAACTCCAAAACAACTCTCATTTGGTCTTCAAGAGCTCATGAATTAGAAAATGTGGGTGCCATTTAGATTTTCTGCATAACTGGAGGTGAAGTTGGGTCTAATAATCAAATCTAATAACCAACTGCTCTTTTGTCACATTACACAATTTTCCTATTATTATATACACAATTAATATTGCATAAACTGTACTCATGTAAAACAGTATAAATACCAAAGAATGTTCAGTCAAATGAAATTCATTTAATCAACAAGCATGTAAATGGAACAGAATATAAAACACAGTGTTAGGTTCTGAGAGCATAAAGGAAAGAAAAGACATACCTTTGCCCTCTGGGGACCTATAACACATTCACAAGTATAGATAAATAACAGCACAAGACGGAAGAAATAAACAACCAAACTGTAACCCTAAGTGCTCTACAGTTTGGGGAAATAAAGAATTCAGGAACTAAACCAGTACATGAAGCCAGAACTGAGAACTTCTCTCCCCATACTCCCAAAAGGGACAAAATTAAGTATGTAGTTAAAAGGGAAAAAGAAAAAAAAAAAAAATCAGGAGTCAGTGGAAAAACAGAAATGGTTGGAACTGAGGGCTTAGAGTAGTAGCAAGAAGTGAGATCTTTGGTTGAATACTCAGAGATGGCTTAATCATAAACCACAAGTGCTTCTCTAAGTGCTGAATACAAATGGAAAATCTTGTAAACCCTTTGTGAGGATGCTTGAGGAAGATTAGCTTGGCAGTAGCCTATAGAAAAGCCTACATGAGAGAAACTGGAAAACAACTAAATTTAAGAGTAACAGGCAGGACTAACCTGATGGCTGCATACAAAGAAAGGAAGAGACATTCAAGAGGCACTGATAAAAAGAAGAGTTGGGTTCTAGGCATGTTTTCAAAGAAAAAACTCACATGATGGCAGAAAGGAAACCAGATTCTCACAAGGGATATACGTATGTGTATATATATACACATATATCTCACAAGGAATATATATGTAGACATAGTACAGTACTCATCCGTGTACTAGGGACAGGGAACTAATTTCCCTACAGAAATCAATGTTAGAAAGAGGAGAAGCTAGGCAGAGAAATACAAAACTGACAGACAATAAGGAACAACTGCAAGGTCTTAAAAAGGAAGCCAAATTATAAATTTAAAAGTGCATTTGAGCTTCTTCAGAATGTATGAAAGATCAACATCAACATAACCAACAAGCGTGGGCAGACCAGTCCAGGTAGTCTAGACTCAAGAATTATTACTCACCTGAACCAGCTTTGTATCGTATACATGCCAGTGTAGTCTATAAGCTTCTCCCAAACATGGACTGAGCAATGTTCCTTATATCAACTAAGTCTAAAACTGTTACTTGAATACATGAACGCTTAGTGTGCCAGGCTAAGTGGAAAAGAGTGAACTTAATGCCAATAGGTAACTATTGATTCTCCCACCTGTCCACATATTTACCTTGCCCCCACTCCTTAGACCAGTGTCAAATACCCAGTTTCCTCTAACGTAGGCCCAATATGAAGAGACTCCAGGAATGTGCTAGGAGTCAGAAGGAAGCCAACCTGATTTACATATTGTAAGGGTAAAATTAAAAATTGGATAATAAAGACCAATTATTCATTAGTGGACTGAACAGAAATATGGATTGTGCCAGTCATGTGTGTGCGGGTTTTGGGGGGTTTTTTTTGTTTGTTTGTTTTTGTTTGTTTGTTTTAATTAAAGCACGTAGGTTTTGGAAACACTGAACTCTGGGTGCAAATCCTAACTCCAGTCCCTAGCAATTGAGTATTTAACCTGTTCCAAATTCAGTTTTCTCATCTATAAATGGGCCAAATGCCACTAACCCTGAGGGTTTTATCATAAGCGTTAGATAATGTACTCTGGTGTACTTTACGCGTCTACAACATAGTAAACTCTTAACAGACAGCTACCGGCACTCTCATTCTTGAGCTTTTGTTTTTTAAAACATTTGGTATTCAGTTTTAGAGACAGAAATGTACTTTCACTGTAATTTAGTTTCTAACACTAAGGATCTATATTTCAGTTTCTAGTATTTTAATCTGGATGTTAACAAAGTTTTTCACTGTTCTTTCCAGGGAGATTGATTATGACAACGTACCCCATCCTGATTTAGTATTTTGGAAAACGGAGCAAACATTCTCCCTTGAAAGCCCACTACACAGAGACTACTGATTCAAACCACTGTCACTCAAGAAAAGGAACACTAGCGATATTCCTTCAAGGAAATAAAAGCATTTGATCAATTCACAGAGTCATTTCCATTCAAACATTCCAAACCCCGCAGAGTGAGCAAACGTTCAAGTTTCTACTACGAAAACAATCTGTAGCCTTCTGGTTACTGGATTCACTTCAACACTTCCCAGACGCACGAAAGAAGAAACATTCCGCACATCTTCGTGCCTCCTCCTCCTCACACAAAGCTTCGCGACTCCACTTCCAAAGCCACCCCAGGCTAGAGAAGCAGCCCCTCTCAGCGGGGTCGGGCCGGCGACCTCAGCCAGGGCGGACCTGTGACCCGGGGGTCTCCATCACACGTCGCCCCCTCCCACCGCCCGGCAGGCTCAGAGTTCCTACCCCACCCGGGAAGCCTCGGTCGACCCCAACCCCGCCCCAGGCTCCGGGAGCCCCGGGCACCCTCCCGCTCGGGGGTAGGGGGTGCCCAGACAACGCCACACAGCGCCCCGGCTCCGCCAAGCCCGGCCAGCCACACACCCTCTGGCCCTCGGTCCGCGCCCCCTCTCTCCCCAGAAGGCAGCCCAGTCCTCGGAACGCTCTACCCGACGCCACCTCCCCCAGGGGAGCCGGGAGCAGGGGCCGCCACCGGCTGCCGGGCACATCCACCCGCGCTCAGACACACGCCCCCGCCCCGCCCCGCCCGCGCTCCCTGCCCGCGGTTTGCGTGGCGGCAGCCAGGCCAGGCCAGCCCGGCCCCGGGCCGGCGCCGCCACCTGCGCCCCCGGCCCCGCGCCATGTTTGAGAAAGAGAGGGAGCGAGCCAGAGGCCGGGCCCGGCCCGCGCGCCCCGCAGCCGCCCGCCAGCCCCGCCGCGTTGCCGCTCACCCATCGTCCCCGGAACCAGCGTCGCCGCCGCCGCCAACACGAGGAGGAGCAGCCGGGGACGCGGAGCAGCGGCCGCCGCCTCCATGGTCCCGCCACCACCGCCTGTGGCCCGGTCCGGCCCGGCCGCCGCCTAGCCTCAGCAAGCCTTGCCTCGCCCCACCTCCCGCCGCCGCCGCGGCCTCGCTCCGGCCCTTTGTAACTGCTCGGGGGCTGAGCGTCCATTGGCTGCCGGGCTCCCGCCGGCCCCGCCTCCCGGCCGTCTGCGAGCGGCCGAGCGGGACCCAGCCCGGAGCCCCGCCTACAGGCCCACTGGACAGCCAATCCACAGCCGCGGGCGCCGGCCTCTGGCCACGCCCCCAGACTCCCCCGGGGGCAGTGCTGCCAGACCCCTGCCCCAGCCAGAGCCGCTCCCCGCTAGGAGGAGGCCGGGTAGAGGCAGGGTGTATCGCGCCTTGGCATGGCCTATCCTCGGGCCCCGGAGGTCTAGGGTTATGCGAGGGGTGTGTCTGGGTGTGAGTCGCTTTCGGAAAAAGGCTGTGGCCGCTCTAGGCTCTTTTCTTGTAGCCTTCTCGAAGATCGTAAGATCTAGTACTGACCCCAATCCCACCCGAACCCCATTCACAATCCTGCACCACCAATCCCCAACACGTTCACTCAGATCCGAGGTATCGTCACGCAGCCTTCAACTTCCACTTCTCAAATCCACGCCTCAACTTTCAACATCTTGAATCTTTCCTCAGTGCCTTCCCTATACGACTCAGTCTTCTGTTTCCTCCCGCTGTTAGTGTCTAATCCCAACCGAATTCCAGGCCCTGAAAGTCCTGAAATCCTGGCTTCAGACTTCATTCAGATCCTGAGCTCCGACACGCCCCCCAAATAGCCTCTCTTCTTCGGAACAAAGAGCAGACCCAGAACGGGGCTCCAAATCACACTCCTTCCTTCTGACCTCTTCCTAATCCAGGTGGGAAAGGGAAGGACCCCATCCTCACCCCCAAAGGACTAGGACTCCTCTTCTTAGCTCGCAGCACTCCTCCTTTGGCGGAGGGGGAGCAGTCAATACTTTGACTTGCCTCTGACACGCCTGCACAATAATTCTGAGGTGTCACTAGAAACCCAAATAAACTCGGCTACGTTTTCATTCTGAATTCCTAATTTATTGTGAGACGCTCCACCCACCTTCCCTCTGGGACACCAAAATGAGCTCCAGATTTGTAATTCTTCCTGTCAGACTAGTCCTCTTTTCAGACACAAACACAGCCGAGGAGGCTGTTACATAGAACAGAGAACATTTTTCCACAGAACCTTTTAAGGAGAAAATTTTATTTTCTGTGTGATTTGAGCTTGGAATTAAATAAACCTTGGTGGCAGGAATCAGAGTCACCCTCTAGGATCGATTTGCGAATCACTTTAGCGCTGCTCCTCCGTGAGCACTTGACCTGCCTGCCAAGACTTCCGTCCAGAGCTGTAAGAGAGCAGGGCGGGGGTTTCGGAGCTGGGATCTGAGACCTGCCCTATTCCCCTCCTGAGTAGGACTCTTATTTGAACAAGTCCGTTAACCTTTCTGAGTCTCCGTGTCCTCATCTGTAAAATGGAAATAATATCTACCTCCCAAGGTCAGTGAGAAGATAAAAGATTTGGGGCTTCTTCTCCCCCTCTTTCAAGTTCTATTTCTAGGCCCTTCCTCCAGACACTTCATCCTCTTCCCTGGACGAGTAAGCGAGGGTGGTTGTACACGGAACTTCCTACCTAGGGATGCAGCTACTAACAAAAACATGGCATAGCCTGCTCCCTTGGGCTTTCTTGGTTGCTGGAGGCCATCAGCAGCAAGCTCTCCGCCTACTCCCTGCCATGGGCCGACCAAGCAGGCAAAGACAGCTTCTGGCTGGTTCCAGTCCCAATCTGCGCTCTCAGTTCCAGTCTTTTCAGAGGAGATGTGGAGGGTTAAGTCCAGGTCTTAGGATACCTGATGTCTGTAGACTGTTTTTCCACTGCTCTAGTCTCAGTGTCTTCCATGAGAGCTCAGGAGATATTTATTGTATGAATGAATGAATGATTCTCCTCAGACAAGTGAGGTGTCCTCTCATCAGATTCTCTTATTAGATTCTTCATCTCTAAAATGAAATATTGTAGGGGCCCCTGGATGGCTCAGTCAGTTGGGCCTCTGCCTTCCGCTCCGGTCATGATCCCAGGGTCCTAAGATCGAGCCCCCCATCGGGCTCCCTGCTCAGCGGGAAGCCTGCTTCTCTCTCCCTCTGCTGCTCCCCCTGCTTGTGCACGTGCTTGTTCTCTCTGTGTCAAATAAATAAATATTTTATTTTTTAAAAAAATTAAAAAATAAAATGAAATATTGTACTTACCCCATTTATAAATAAAAGGGATTGAATCACATGTCTTGGGCCCCTTAGATGACGTAATGTGTCTGGAACAGCGTCTAGAACATAGTAAATACATTTTTTTAAAGAACATAGTAAATATTTAGTTAACGCCATTTCCTTTGCCCAGCCCCTTCAGGCTCTGTTTGATTCTAATCAGCATTCATGTTCGGTTAACCTGTGCCTTTGCCTTACAGAGCCTCTGTTAATCAGTGTTGGGTTATCTTCTATGACACACTTCCAGTTCCTTAACATTTTCCATGGAATCAAGTGTCTTCGTTAAAACACTGAAGAACAGGAAGGAGAAACAGACTATTTTTAAAATTTATTTTCCTGATATTAGGAAGAAATTTCCATGAGCCATGGATCCACAAATAAACTACATTGGAATGGAACAATAAATTATAAGTTTAAAATCATAGTTCTCAAACTTTAAAACGTCTCCAAATTAACTGGAGAACTTTTTTAAAAATGCAGATTCCCGAGTGTGAGCCCGAGAGCGTCTGCATCAGTTATCTGAAGGAGGTCCAGGAACTTGCATATGGAACAGAGGCCCCGGGTGATTCTGAGGCGGGTGTCACCAGGCCACACTTAGAAAGATGCTGGTTTAGAAAGTGTTATCTTGAAATTCAGTAAATAAAAATGCATGTACTTATTTTACCTTTTGAGAAAGGGAAGGCAGTGGAAAGAAGCCTCTGGCTTTGGAGGCCTAGCTGAATTCTGGCTCTACCATTTACTAGATGTAGGATCTGTGCATGCCACTTGATTTCTCTGAGATTTCACATCCCCCAGTGTGAAATGGGATAATGACACTGACTCATATATTTGTTGTAAGGTCTAAATGAGCTATGCACATGAAAAAATCTATCATTAATATGAATTCCCTTCACAGTCTCTATGGCTCTGGAAAAGGCTTTTTTACTCTGTCTTGATTTGATGGGGAAGAAACTGAGGACCAGCCCCCAGCAAGTAAGCTTCAGAGCCAGGACTAAGAGACTCTCCCTCCAGTGCCTTGTCCTATGCACAATGCTACCTCTCAGTCCTTATGCCAAGCACATTGTTTGCTTTTCCTTTTGGATTATTCCCTCAGGTAAAATGTTTTCTCCTAAATGGAGAGCAGAGACGGTTAGTTGCCTAAACTATATTCATTCCTACATTCATTCACTTTATGAACAGAATCCTCATTTCCTTTGGGAAAGCCATTCACCTAGCTAAAAATCTTAATTTCCCAGGCATCTGCACCTAGATATGACCATGCGACAGAGTTCTAGCCAGTGAAATATAAGAAGTCTGCCAGGAAGAGCTTGTCTGGAACATACTGTTTTCCTTATAAAGACTCATCACATTCTCACCTTCTTTCCATCTGGAACAAAGCTGCAACACCTGGAAGTACAGCAGCCATTTTGTGAGCATAAGGATAGTGTCCATAACACCATCTACACCATCATTCCTAGAGAAACTAGGAATGAATAGAGTAGATAACTAGGAGTGGAGAGAGTCTGGGTCCTTGATAAATTCCTTGAGCAACCGTACCAGCTGTAAATGCTTACCACTGATGTTCATATTATACGAGAAAAATAAACGTCTCCTTTTTTTAACCTTAAAACACTTTAATTCTGGTCAATGCTATCTATTATATATTTTTATTTCTGTCTTATTTTTTAGCCTACAAGCTAGTATTGATTTATACCATATTATCTATTGCTAACCCCTAGGCTCCTAACTAAATAACAATCACCTCAAAACCTAGTGGCCTAGGATAATAACTATATATTATTTCTCATGAGACTGTGGGTAGGCTGGGCTGTTTTTCTTGGGCTAGGCCAATTTAAATTGATCTCAGCTGAGCTCACATATGAGTCTGCTATCAGGTGGCAGGTCATCTGGGAACCAAACAGATCTATAATGGTCTAGCTCAGCTCCTTTATGTGGTTTTTCACTCTCTAACAGGCTAGCCTGGGTTTGTTAACATGACAGTTCAGGGATCCAAGATAATGAAAAGCAGTTTACAACGGGCACATCATTTCTGCCACCTCCCATTGCTTTGGGAATGAATTAGGCCAAACCCAAATTCAAAAGAAATAGATTCCACCCCTTGATAAAAGGAACTGCAAAATCACATTGCAAACGGGTGTAGATATCAAGAGAGATGTAAGTGTGGCCATTTCTTGCAAACACTTTTTACCACTTTTTCTGATCTTCATTTTTTTTTTTATCCCTAGACTTTCCATCTCAAATCACTTTAATTCCACCTGAAGTACATCCTTTCAATTTCCCCTTAGCGAAAGCTGACTGGTAGCAAACAATTTTAGTTTTTGTTTGATAGAGATGACTACATTTAACCCTTATTTTTGGACAGTGTGTTTTTTTCCACTGGCTACAGAATTGTAGATTGGCAATTGTTTTTTTCTCAACAACTGAAGCGATCATTTCACTGTCTCTGGCTTCCATTGTAGTTCGTGAGAAATCAAGTATTAGTCCATTTCTTCTTTGTAGGTAATTGGTCTTTTCTGTTTACTTTTTTTTAATAGACTTTATTTTTTATAAATAAAAATGTTTATAAATGTTATAAATAACAAATAAAATATTCATTTTTTAGTTTCACAGCAAAATTGACCATAAATTACATAGGGTTCCCATATATTCCCAGTCTCTACCCAGGCACAGCCTACCCCACTGTAAATAACCCCCATTAGCATGGTCCATTTATTAGAATCA